ACAAATATATCTATCTAAACAATACATAACATGAGAAGTCCAAGGCCACTTTATAGTCAAAGAAGTGGAGTGATTTTGGTAGCTAATGGGTCTAACTGGAGTTTTATAATAATTAAGTTAGTTCTAAACTTCTACTAATTTTCCAGGGTAATCAGAGTGTGACCTTCAACCAGAGGTAAACGGATCAAGTTACTGGGGAAGGTTTTCATATCTAAATTGATATTAAGAGTTACATTTGAATTAGGAATTAAGCATTTACAAATTAAGATATGGATCAACAGCCATTTGCAATAAGCTTAAGATTTAGCAATATTTTGTGCCTCAATATGGGTAATATGGGTAATATGAGTAAAACGCTTGTGCATTCCAAGTTCAAGGCCACTTTAGCCTGAGAAGTAGAGTGCTTGATAGCTAATGAGTCTAATTGGAGTTTGATAATATTTAAGTTAGTTGAAGAGTTGAAGTAATTTTCCTGGGTAATCATGGTGTCACCTTCGACCAGAGGTAAACAGAGCAACTTAAATCAATATTATGAGTTATGATTGAGTTAGGAATTAGGCATCTGCTGAATTAAGATATTCAAATCAATGGCATTTTGCAATGAGCTTGAGATTTAGCAATATTTTGTGCCTTGGTACAGGCCATACAAAAATCCCAACAAAATCTTTATGAACAAAGTACTAATTTCATCTAAAATAGTAACAAGAAAGGTGTGGGGAAACACGCCTGATGATGACAAATTAACACTTACCCATTTCTCATTTCTAAAACATTATAGCTAATCAAGTAAAGATCTTGATACAAAATCATAAGAACAAAACTGAATGGAAGCAAATGCCTCTTGCTTAAAAATTGGAAAAAAAAAGTTGCTTTGTACATGAAGGATTCAACAGTTACTAGACTCACCTGAACTTTTTCCTGAAGAAAAGGGTCTCCAAAAGAACGGTACAGGGGATGATTGCCAGTTTCGTCATCTGGTATAGCAATCAATATATTCTTTATTCGAAGACTCGGCATATAAAAATAGATCAATACTTCATTTAATAATTAAAAATGATTCATGAGAAAATAAAATCATTAATATTATTTTTTAAGTAAGAACATGCTCAAAGAGAGCACAGTTATTGCTCAAATGGTCTAAGATTTCAGACTTGACATTGCATCTTAGAAAAAGAGGATAAATTATCAAACCATATAGGGATAAAACATTCTGTCCACAAATGTGATTTTACCTGGTAGAAGCCAACAGAGTTGAAGCCTAAGCTAAGATTTAGAAGCCCAATTGAGATTCCATTTAGTATTCCAAATCCCATAACTGCTCTTGCATCAAAAGGCTTATGCTCAAACAATTTCATCAATAGTGCCACATGAAGGGAACAAAATGTAACAAGCAGATGCCAGCTTGTCAATGTAGTGGCTGTGCATCAACCAAGTTCCATTAATGAACAAGTTCACATACAAAGGACAAAGAGCCAAGTATCAACAGGTAGCTTCTGCTAATAGTTTGGCATAAATAAATATACGGAAAGGGAAAGTTGCTCTTCTCGTCATAAGATTAATAGAACTATACATTGATCTAGTGTCAGAAGGTTACAATTTTTCTAGAGGCATGTGATAAGTTGATAATGTGAACTCTAGATCGTTTTGTACTGAAAGTTAGTAATGTTATAATCTGATAAAACACATAAGAGAGTAGCTCATAGGCTGAAAGACCTGCACTAAGTTTCTTTTATTACCAAGATATAAGTACGGAAAATTTTAATCCTCACCTCAATCTTTAACACTCCTCACATGTGGTTCCGTGTGTGAATTTTAATACATTAGACCTTACAAATCAATTATTATTGAAATTGAATGTAATGATATTATAAGGATTTGAAACAGGACCTCCTGATTTGATATGACCTCAAATAAAAGTATACATTAGATAAGGATAAATTTGATATTTTCAAATGATTATTTAACACAAAATGAAAGTGAATAATACATGAATTTACATAGGAAAAAAGTAAATTAAAGAGTAGTAATGCACTTTGGTGACATGAAAATCGAAAGCACAAATAAATTTCTCTACTCGGCTTGAATTGTTCAGTCAATAATAGATCTAAGACTACCAAATTCAAGCTCTGGGGAGAAATCATGCGATCAATGAAAATTTGATGTAAAATATCCAAGCCTATAATTCTTGTAGATCCAGAAACTAATTCTTAGAAAATTTAAGTGTTCGTGCCTCGGGAGGGATACGTCGATATTGCTCACAGATTTCAGTCAAAAGAGAAGCAAACAGGAGGGCGTGAAATTAAGATTTTGGAGCCTAGAGTGAAGATATATTTAGCAACTTACCGAACGTGAAACCGAGTGTACTAATGAGTGCCTTGTTGCATATGACAATCGAGACAGAAGAGACCACCGACAAACTCAATGCCCCGATAGTCCCAAGCTGGAACTTCTGGCTGTCACTCATTTTCAGGCTGCTCAATGTCGAGTCCTGCCACGATCTGGATTCTGCAATTCCACTCACCACCGTCAAAAAAAAAAAAANAAAAAAAAAAAAAAAAAAAAAAAAAAAAAAAAAAAAAAAAAAAAAAAAAAAAAAACAAGCAGGGGGCATGAACTACAATGTGCAAAGAAATATGGCGGTGCTGACGGAACAAAATAATTCATCAAGCATCACCAAATTCGGGTGCAATTCATTCATTACCATGAATTAGACGAAAGCATAAAGCAACAGAATTGGGAGATGAGCAGAAAAAACATTAAAAAAAAAAAAAAAAAAGAAGAAGATAAACAATACAGTGAATAAGATCTGCAGAAAAATGGGAGGTGAAAAACGCAGATCTAAATAGGTGGGCAGAAAAGTGAAGAAAAAGAAACGGACATACCGGGGGGAGACAGATGGAGGGAGAGAGGAGCGTAGGTGTATGCGGTGCGCTAAGACAATATCTATAACATACAATGATGCAGAGGAGATTGATCGGAGCAGTGCGCGTGGCCTTTAACGGAGAAGGAAGAACGCTAACAGTAATGGCAAGGGGGATGGAAGGAACGAAGAAAGTGTTTGTGAATCATAATAATAAATAAATAAAAAAACCATAGAATTTAATTGATTTAATTTAATTAATTATCATTTACTCTCCTCATTCGACCGCTTTATAGAATGTAAATGGAGACTGAAAATTCAAATAATAAATAGTTATATATAATTATAATTATAATTTTGCAAGTTCCTTATTGAAAAATGTAACACTAATATTTTTTAAACATCAAATAGAATTGGTTATTTAAACCTCTAACATCACATAGTTGGGTTGAAATATAGTAAACCCATATAAATTAGTTATTATTTCACCGATTAAATTCTTAAATGAAAAAAGGTTACTAAATTGAAAGGTAAGATGAAATGGTATTATAATGTCCACTTTAGTAACATTTCTACCGTAACATTTTTACCATCAAGTAAGACTTATGGCCTTGCTTTGGGCTTCTCAAAAATGTCTCGTACTAACGAAGATAGTATTTCTCACTTATAAGTCCATGATCATTCTCTAGATTAGCCATTTTGGGACTCACTCTCAACAATCCTCGAACATGTGCATGTGGATTTATGCTTCCCCTCCCCTTCCCACTTGAGGCTGCTTCCCCTTCCCACTCGGAGTCTGAATGCACACAATGCAAGTGCAACCTGATCGGTGTTGAGGATGTCTTGTCATTGTACCTGATTCCTACAAGTAAGCCATGCTGTCACCCAGAAGCAGCATTGGCCAGCGCATCCAAACCAAAAGGCTCCAGTTCTTGAATACACTTCTGGCTCTTCATGATTTTACATTTCATAAAATTTGGAATGCATAGTGCACAAAAAAGACCATCTCGTTCTCCACTTCTTGCATCTCAACTTATGTAATCAAGTCATTTGAGGCGTTCACTCTTGAACAACTTCTGCTACAAACTTCTATGCAATGCTTACCTTTATGCGCCACAAATATGCATAAACTACGGTCAAAATGCACTGAAGCTTTTAGTTGAGATATATGAACATTCACCAATAGCATTACAAAATATGTTCCTACTCAATTCTTCCTAATTATAATGCAACAAAAGCTTGTATGGATGACTATACGGGTTGGTTGGTACCTTTACATGCTCTTAGAAGATGAACAAGTCCATTGTTTCTGTTCCCTGGATTATTCTGGTCTAATCAGAATAATTACTCAACACATTATAAACTAAGCGAACAATTTACCACATGAGCTATAGACTTCATGACTGCCCACAATTATAACAAGAAGAATTTATCAACAGCATTGCAGTAAAACTTGATGACTTGGATAAGCCTAGAGAAGAATTTATAAGTCAAAATCTAAATAAAATATGAATATTTATTGAAGGTTAACACTTTCATTACTCATAGAGGTTCCTAAATGATTTTAGGATAGGGCAATAATAAAATCAGTTGCATAATGATCATAAATCATTTACAGACAAATAAATTCTTCCCTCTTTTGAATTTCAAGAACCAAGGACAGAAAATGCATTCTATTTGGGGATCTTTTAGGGTGGAGGGGGCAGACATGCACAGTGAATTCTCTGAAATAGAAAAAAAAAAAAGTTCTATATATAAAGTCGCAATTAGAAATGGAGACAAATTGGTACCTACTTACGTACTTACACACAAATATATTCGCTGTAAGAAGGCCCTTAAAACTAAAGGCCATTACCAGTACATTTGCTTACCTTGCCACAAAAACTGCAATCCCTCCAACCAGTTTCCTGTAAGTGATATGTATCACAGAAGACTAAATTTTCATAACCGGATCTAAATCACATACAGTACCAAGAGACTGTGAAGGGATTAGAAGATAGAAAATGAAGTACAGTGCCAACATACAGTACCAATCGCAATGAATATCAAACGTATTCCTCTTCAAATATAGAATTATGAATAGAAAATAGAAGAGAATAGGGCCATTCCTCTTCTTCACTGAACGTGTTGCGTCATGATATAACGTGGACAATAAGGCCATCCACTATTAATCAAATTTGTTTCGAAGAATAGTGGCGTTGCAGAACAAAATACAAACCATAGAAGATGGGGCTCATTTGCTTGCGTCTTCCATATTACAAGGTTTACCCAAGTACAAAAGGTCCTATAAGTGTACATACTTTGAAGTAAGGAGTTGTGTCTCTGGATACTGGACCATTGACATATCATGGCAGAGTTGTGAAAACAAAATCCAGGACATTACCAGCGGCAGGTAGGCGTTAGACAAGCCCCCGCTCATTGTTACTTCAACAACTACATTTACATCATTAATTTTAATAAACAGAACCGTATCGTGTTCAACTATTTGTTTCACCCCCAAAACAAGCCAACAACTCTTGGACATTCCATATATTCTAAACATGTATGTACTACAGCCATGACTGATTAAGATGCCAACACCGGAACCCGCTTGTGACCGATGAAAACTTCTCTCAGCATGTGATATCCACTCCTGTAGTGCTCAATCGAAAAACATAGCTGTCTTATAGCCTCTCTTTTTTCCTCTGCTCCTTCCATTACCAGTTCTCTTTGCCTCTCCACCTCCCTTTCTAGTTCCTTCTCTCTTAGTCTTAACTCCTCTGCCACCTTATCTGCTTTTTCAACGCCTGATACCAGCTCCACACGTTCCCTTTCCAGTTTCTGCACATGCTCCCTAATTTCACCCACCTGCTTCTCTTTACACCTCAAATTATCTTTCAAACTAACAACTTCTGCATGGAGCTTATCACGTTCCCTTTCCAGATTCTCAATGCATTCCACTTTGCCAACAATTGTCGTTTCCAGCCGCCCAATCTCACCACTAAGTCTCTCCTCCAAATCCCCCTTTTCCCCCTTCACTTTTCTGATCTCATCCTCCAAAACACGAGCTTGATGTTCCCCTTCTCTCACTTGTTCCATCAATACAGCTCGTTCCTCAAAAAGCTTAGACATTTCAGCCTTAACCTGTGCTTTCTCAGGAAAAATTTTCAGCTCCGCATCAGATACTGCTAGTTTTAAATCCCTAATCTCGTGCTCTCGATCCGATAAACTAGCTTTCAACCTCAAAACTCTTTCTTGTAGCTTGGAGACCTCTCTTCTCTCTGCACTTAGTTTGGCCTTCCATGTTGTGGTATCTTTTCGGGCAGCTTCAAGCTCATTCTGCAAATGCAAGATTTTCTCAGGTGATCTATTGTTCTCAAGTTCAAGCTTTAATTTAGAAAGTTCTTTCTGCGAGTTATCGAGTTTTTCCTTCATAATTTTTAGTTCTTCCAACACTCCCTCCACGTTAATGACTTGGTCAACTCCCAAACCTTTATCATGTTCTTCAATCTCTGGTTCCTGATTAATGACTCCATTCTCGTGCCTCTGGACATCTACCATTGTAGCACACACAGACTCCGCCTGCAAATCTTTGGACAATTCTGCTTGCCTGTACTTTTGGAGCTCACTTTCCAACTTCATGATCTGTACATCTGAAATCCGGAGCTTCTCATTTGCATTCCTTACTTCTTCCTCGTACACAGACATTCTAGCAAATACATCATCAGAATTTTCATCTGTTGCCCCCTTGAATGGAAATGAACTTTCGGCATTATCCTCTTTCATGCGGAGCTTTTCTTTAGCCTGACGGAGCTCAATCTCCAATTCAATCATCTTCCTGTTCACACCTTGATCACCACCTGAATAATTATTCACCGAGGAATCGTCCGATTCAGGTTCAGAATCTGTCAAGGAAGATGACTCATCTCCTTCCTTTTGGCAAGTATCAGAGTTGCTCCCACCAGATCCAAGGAAGAAATCAAAGCCAGCAGCTCGTGGCCCAGATTTCCGACGTCCAAGCCTTTGGTCAGGAGAGGGCCATGTAGAGGACGGCTCAGAGCCCAGGTCAGAAATACCAGAGCCCTGGGATTGTAGATCTGACGGAATATTTTTTCGAAGCTCTCCTGTCACATGATCATAGCGCTCAGCAAGGGAACGATACATGCGGTAGAAATCCTCAACATGAGAAATCAACACTGGCCTCTTCTGATAATACATCTCAGCCTTCTTGGCAAATGAATCTGCATCCTCTTCTATTAGCTTCAACATACGTTTGATGCTCCGGTCCATCTCTGTATTCAACGATCGTTTTGTCAATTTTTTGATTATCATTTTGATGATGAATTAAGATTGACTTCCACCTATCGTTGAATTACAGAAATAAAACATGGAGCTTACGGAACTAATTCCATGCCAATGTTTGGGTAGTTGAAACACATGCACCATAAGGTTCATGCAGAAAGGAGGAAGAAGCTAAAATTTTGGAACTGCTACCCACATTCCCAAATTTAACCCCACCCCTTTTAGAATATGAAATGAAAATGGGGAGAACTGTTAAATAAAAGGAAAAAAAATCCTCAACATGAGAATTAGAGGAGAACAATTTCCTTAGTTGTTATTTGGCATTAGTTGGGAAAGGTTACAAGAAACAGCATAAAGACAAATATAGTAAACGAATGGTAGGCCATTACAAAATTCTCAATATATTGAGGCCCTCCCACTATACCTAATAATACCTTCATCTTTTTTTTAGCACTCCCAGCGGAAAACGAACACAAAAGAGGGGAAGTGCTATCTATAAAAGGCCAGCCCAAAGAAGCACTTGTTTCGATTGTGCATTACATACGAAATAAATAACGTTCTTCAATCACAACCCTAACATTTCAAAGACGTCAGGCCCTGATATTTGTTGAAGAAGTAATTGAAACATGAATTTGAAGTTTAAAAGGTTGTTTAAATTTATGGATATAATTTAAATAAAATAAACAAGATTATAAACTCAAATTCCCGCGATCCGAAGTTAAGAGCGTTATGCAGATAGAAGAAAAGTAGTAACTAACCCTCGAGATTGTCCGTGAGCCATCTAGAGTTTTTGGGGCTGACGTGACTATCCCACCACCAAGAATGGGACTTCCGAGATTCCAACCTCTTCAATTTCCGATCACTCCGAGCCTGAGATCAAGAAAAACACACACACACAGAAGTGATGATTATAAAGCAGGCGTGATATACTTGGCTAATGGAGCAACTCAGTATGTAGCAGAAGAAGAGCGATAGACGCATACCGATGAGTTATCCATTGAGGCGTGGAGTTGAATGTTCACTCAGAGCCAACGGAGCCTAAACTGAAACTGAAAACATACCATCCAAAGAAAAGAACAGAAACCGGCTTTACTTTCTCAACAAAATCAAATCAAGAAAAGAACAGACACCCGATTTACTATCTCAACAAAACCAAACTAAATCAAATCAAATCAAATCAAATCAGGTATGGCTGGACTCGCCGGAGGTAGGTAAGTAGGGCGATAGATACAATGGAAATGGGCTTCGAGGCCCATTAAAGACTAATTTGGCGACGTTGAGTGACGGCAATGGCACGCGCATTAATAAATCTACATTACCATTGAACATGTCGCGGCGCGGCAGACGGGAAGCCAGGCCGAGGCTTTGACTATTACAACTGTCAGCAGTTCAAGCTATGCAGTCCACGCGTTCGCTTTTAATTCAATGCACTCCCACCTCACCTCCCTCTTTAATACAAAATATACATAATCAAACGCTAATCATCTTCCTACAATGAGTATATATATGTATAGTAAAAATCAATTAATTATTCAAAAAAATTAGTTGTTCGATCCTGCTTGAACTTTTTTTTTTTTTTGACAAGAAAATAAACCCATTATGGTGAAGATGAATTGATATGAGGGATTTGAACGAGAAACTGGATTTGAAGGAGAATCAGACCACTAAGAGCTTTGTGAGTCGAAATTGAAATGGAAATACAAATAAGAAAGGAGAGATCAGGAGAGAGGAAGCTTACTGTAACCAATGGCCGCGCCTCCAGAAGATGAGAGAACAAGCTGGAATGCAATGAACGGAAAGGCGGGTCTTAAATTCAATGGCTGTATCGCATATTCTAGTTTTGGAGAGGACGAAGAGGCGCAAAACAGAGTGGCAGTGGTGGAGACGGTCTCTGATTAAGAACATTCAACAGACACTGCCTGCTCTATTTTCCCCCATTTTCTCAAACATGCTTCCACTTATGTACCAAAATGATCATATTGCCCTTCCCTATTGACTTTTCATGTTTCCACGAAACCTGAATTTCAGGCCGACATTTTTTTAAATAAAACATGCAGATCACGACATTTTTTCTAATTCTTTTTCTTCCAACATTACGAATACGTTGTTTCTTCAATCAAAATAAATCGGTAGATTCAGTAACGTCTAGCGTAAAACGCAGGATAATAATTATTGGTCTCAAGTTTATTTAACATATCATGTAATTGAATGAATTTGCAATCGTGTGTTCATAACACCATTTTGGATAGCCTTGTAATTGCCCAAATAAAACCCAATCAGTAGCCATCTAGACATCCAAATGGACAGAAAGAAGAGAGAATAAACACGGCCTTGTAACTCGTCATTATCTTAAATTCTAGAACCCCAATTACAATATCGCATTCACTTCAAAATTCACTTGCGACAATTCGATAGTAAACCAAGTTTTAACAAGTGGTTATTACTCAAAAACATCAGGCTTCCATACAAGCAAACAAGTGATAATCATGTCCCAGCGTTCCTCCGGCCAACACGAGCAACAAAACCAGCTTTAATGGGAGCAACTGATCGTCCAGAACCACACTGTTTGATCACACACAAAACAACACAAGACTTGGGGTAAAAACAAGGGAGAGATGACTCCAGAAAGAATACGAAAGCTTGTGAAATGAAATAGAACACCGAAACCTCCAGTTAATGACAAATAATTAATAAATAAATAATGGCTTTTTCACATGACTTTGTCAAACTTCAATTGCTTTTCTAGTAGGAAGAAGCGCAGGGTACATAAAAATAATCTATTCAATATCAGATCTCAGATAGGCAATCTGGGATATAAAACAAATTTAAGAATGAACGCAAATATCCTGATTCATCATTTCCCCCAACAATGCAATTGAAAGAACCATCGCAAATTTATTTAGGTATGCCGCTGCTTTCTTAATCCTGGGAGTTTGACCATTGCATCGGTTTGCAAGTGCCAAACAAACTTCACACACAAATCACAACTAAGCAATAAACATGCATCAACTTCTCCAGACTACAGTACTCAGGACTAGAAAACTCGCAAAAAAAAAAAAAAAAAGAAACTTACCTTCTCACATCTGAGAAAGAAGAGTCGATTCTCCTTTGAAAGGATAGTGTCTGGACTCTTGCACCCAATGCAAATCACATATTCATCTGAAAGGAATAAATAAATGAGGGAAGGGAGGAAACTATAAAGAAAGGTATAAATTAGAAGTGAATCAAATAACTTAATAGTTGGTAACAAAACGTATCCAGTAGAGACTTGCAACAGTTATTAAGCTTCTTTTTTTATGAGTAACAGAGTTTTCATTGGTTGGAAAGAATTGAAAGAATACAAGGGCTTAACAAAAGAGAGCCAACAAAAGAGAGCCAACAAAAGAGAGCCAACAAAAAAGAGAGGCAAACTGCAAAAACAGATTCCAATCAAGCAAAGAAGTCTTAAGTAATAATTACTGAAAGGTTATCACATAAGCTCATAAAAACACATTGAATCTAACAAAGGACCAAACTTCACCTCAAGATCTCTCAAGCCCTCTAAAAATTCGTTTTTTTCCCTCCCTCTCCAACCCACGATTAAGCTTTAAACAAGCGTCAACATACTTATCAGTTGAAATTGAAACAAGTCCATTTCTTACAAACTGATTCCCACCCCCTCCCCGATGTATAAAGATTGACAAGAACTTGCATCACTATGACTTTCTCAATGTCATAGCAGCCGTTCACAGTTTTTTCCATCTCCTTTAGGTCACATTTTGTAGACAAATACCATAAGTAAATCAATGAGAGGCCACTTACTAACATATCGACGCAGAATTCCTTCAAAGTTCTTTGGTGCAAACCTTCCTTTAACAACTAATCTCTGCTGTCCATCAAGAGATCCACTGGTTCCCAGTTCGGCTAATAAGAAAGCCATAACATGGTCTGGCTGCCGATGCATCCTATTTTATTTCAGTTTTAGAGAGAGTCAGTTCCAAAGACCAGCATATAGTTCTAATTATACCATCAAGCATCTACCATAGAAATATAGAGAGAGCAAAGAGTGGGAGAGGCTAAAAGAAATACATAATGCTGCACTTTTATGAGGAAACATAAATACCCCTCTGGACTATTTATGCAATAGATGAACTTAGATGGATCTGAAACTAAAAATTACAGATCAATTGTCGGATAGAAATTGAGAACAAAACCATGGTACAAAGAGTGAGACTCTGCACTGGACATGACTAGATTCACTCGTCAGAATGATAAACAAGCAACTTCCCTCCAATTTTTTTTCCACTCTGTACTAGTAGAGAATGTGCTTAATGTAAAACAACCCGAACTCACTCTTACAGAATCATATGTACTAGTAGAGAATGTGCTTACTGCAATAACAACCCAAACTCGCTCTTACAAGAATCATATAGATCACTAGATCACAGATTTTATAAACCAATGAAACTCAGAACTAACATGTGACAGGGATACTTGTATACTACAAGGCAAATGCTAGAGCAAAAAAGATACCTATGAATATGACATGTCATTCTTCCATTTAAATAAAAGATCAACTTTCATTGAGAAAAATGAAAGAATACAAGTGCATACAAAAAAGAAGTTAGTATTAGATAGTTTGAAGAAAAAAGAAACAATGCCTCTGAGGACAGAAAAATGCAATAGATTACATCAAACTCGAGATAGTGTGCACGCAGAAAACAAGAGTTTAATAACAGACAGCAAATTATGGAATAAGCATATTAACTTATTTGTTGAATTGAATAAAAAAACAGCGGAAAAAAAATTCTGAAGTGCGAACAGCCAAAAATATTTAGGCAGTCTATGATTAAAATCTAGTAAGAACAATACATGGTTATATAAGGCTAATGAACACATACGTTTTACATAGATCCATGAAATTGACAAAAACAGTTTTCTTTGTGCCTTCACGAAGAACTTGAGGAGGCCTCATAACTGTTCTACGCCTATCGCCTGCAAGCTCTGGATTATTCTCTCTAAGAATGTTGAATACCCGTCCAAGAAGCTGCAGAACGAGACAACAAAAGGCATCGATTATCTAATGTTAGCCAAAGTCAACGTAACTGTAGCAATAAATTTGTTCTGTCTAAAATAGTAGTCAGAAAATCTTGAGCAATCTTTACTATTACTATTAGTAATACCAAGCAAAGAATACCATGAATATGAGACTACAAAAAAAAAAAGAAAAAAAAAGAAAAAAAAAAGAAACAATGAAGACAATTGAAATCTTACATTTAACTCATTTGGGGTGAAGCAATAAATTCCATTACACGACACAACAAAGCCCCTTATTTCTTTCTAAGCATGATTCCAGACAAGAACAACAACAAAAACAATTTTCCATAATAAACACTTTATCTTGAAAAGGACTCAACATAACAAAATAGCTCACAAACTCGTGCAATCAATTGTAGAGCACCAAAAGCAAACTCCACACCTTAAAGCAAAAGGAGAATAACCACGTCAAATGTAGTTCACTAACAAACATAAAATGCCTAGTCAATTGACAGTTGAACAAAACCCATTATCCAACATTTAACAAAATAAACCTATTTGTAATGTAGTTCACTAACAAACATAAAATGTGTAGTCTGATTTCAGCTGCTAGGTTTTAGGGTGAGAATATATTGAGAAGGCTGGAAGTGGAGTGCTGCTGCCGATCGGTGCCATTGCATGTGAGGCGAGGTGGAGACTGGAGGTAGATGAGAATAAGGAGCCAGAACGACCGTCTGACTCCTGCCTCCTACATTTTAATTTCAGTGTTTGTTATTATAGGCTTGGGCTTTTATATTGGGCTGGTTAATTAAGCTTCATTTTTGCCCCTAAATTTTGAAGTCAAATTCTTTTCCGTGTCTCAAATTATAAAAGTAATTAAAAAAAAGGCACTGATTTTTGTGTGTCCAGCACGTGTCCAGAGCATGCCCAGGAGTATCCATGTCCAACATGTGTCTAACATGGACACCCCCTCCCCCACTAGAGAGCGTTTGTGCTCCGTAGTACACAACTTTACATTAAATCTAAATTATCGGAGTCGCCCAAATTTTGGGCACAACCTAACAACAAACCACCCCTCTTGATATTGTTGCCATAGTCTAATTTCTCATAAGAATTATATGTATGGGGGCAAGTCTAATGAACTACATAATAATAGGAAAAAGATAGTCATGCCAACAGTAAGAATGACTGCGCCCAAAAAACACAATTTCCTACAAAACACAACCATATACATATTGGCTACAAAAAGTACAGAAAAAATCTCACGATTTCAAGTATAGCAATACCTCCTCATATTCATAATCGCGATCACTTCCTTCCCAAGGATAACGATACTGTAAAGTAATTCCGTCTTGATCTTCGTTCTCCCCCGCTTGATCTGAAAGCCCATGATAAATCACTTTTAAGTTAAAGAAAGAGTTACAGATGAAAAGGAGATTGTGAACAAAAGAATGTCCTATACAAGCTGCAGGTATAGCACAACGTTTTTTGAATGAGTGACTTCATACAATATATGGACAATTAAACTGATTTAAAAAGTGCACCTTTCCAGAAATTATGTCTAATAAAATAATTTTAAGAGTTTTAAATATGTCACCGAATTCATTGATCTATTAGACATTTTTACCGGGCTCAGTAAACACAATAGTTGAAAGTTTAGAGACTAATGAGATAGAAGTTTGAAAATTCAAGAACTAAATCAGTAGGTACATGTAAATATAATTGTAAATGCATTGGATACATAATACTTAGATTGAGTAATATCGATCACAAAATTATAATAAACCATTACATAATTATCCATCTACTTATATAAGCAAAGAATGAAACTTTTGTCAAACATTTCAAAAATAAAATTAAGATTTTTTATGAAATTAATATTTAAAAAAAAGTTAATAAATATTATTAAAAAAAATATGCTTGTATCTTTATATATGCACACATTAGAAAGGAAAAATTGAAATAGAATAAAGATTTTTTTTTTCCTGGGATTGGAAATTGAAAGTGGCGATGGGGATTTTTGAAGTCTCATATGGGCGGGGATAGAATAATATATAAATATATAAATTAAAGAAATAAAATAAAATAGAACAAACTTGGTAAGAATATGCACAACTTTTTTGTGCCCACTCTTACAATAAACCACCATGTAAACATATATAAAACCGATTATTTAGGGGTGGGGTGGGGGGAACATGCCACCTCTGGCACTGGCCCCAACGTGGATCCACACTTGTGTGATAACAAAGTCTTTAATTTCTAAAGCTTTTAGTTATCTTATGATTCATAAAAAAAACTATTCTATTTACTTTTTCTTTGCAGCCCACGTTTAAGCCCCATGATTATAACGATCTAGTGTCCCTAACTCTTCAAAAAATGCTACTTACATGGAAACTATACACCTTTAACTTTTTTCCTAACCCTTCAAAAAATGCGACTTACATGAAAACTATACACCTTTAACGTTTTTCCTAACCCTTCAAAAAACACTACTTCCATGAAAACTCTACACCTTTAACGTTTTTAAAATATCAATTATTAGCATGACGTAGAAAGTAGATAGAGATATTCCGAACTTAAAAATAATAATATGAAAACAAAAAAGAAAAGGAAAAGACAAAACAAAGTTTACATATGTGTTGCTAACCTTCCAAATCCTCCGTAGCATCTGCACCATCGTCATTCAAGGAAATAGCCTCTACCTAGAATTAAAACAAATGATATCAGTCACCAAATAGAGCTTCACTGAAGAAAAGTAAGAACATACTGGTTTTTTCTTCTTCTTTTTAAGTCCAGAAAATGTGGTAGTCTCCAAGCCATCAGAAACTGCAGGACAAAATATGTAAAATTAAACATCAATAAAAAATCCTTATATCACCAACAAAATGAAAATAACATGAAACAAACATGCAGTGCCAACTTTTCATACCTGACAAACTTTCGGTTTTCTCTGCTAACTTGTCAACAGACTCATCAGCCAGATCCTGAAGTACAACCTTCTTCTTCTTCTTCTTCTTAGTTGGATCAAAGGGGGCAACAATCTGCAAAGAATAAACCGTACACATTCGTCATGGTGTCGCACCAATGCTTGCGCCTGAACAATGCTTTGGAAACTGCACTAGATTACAATTACTCAGAGATTTGGATAGACACTTCGTAAGATACCAGCCAGGGCAACTCCACATGAAAACAACCGAATAGAAAATACCTCGAGGACTTGATTGGACTGTGCAATCTTACACAAGACCAGAAAACTATTAGTATAACATTTACGTAAACTGGACTAATCATCAATGACTGCCGCCTCAAGGGTTACAATTTATTCCTTGGACTTCCACAATGCTTGGTAGTCAAGACCTTACAACTAATAGCACAACACTGGGTTACAGTATATCCTTCAGCTGTACATGACAGAATTGAATTCCCACCCCCTCCCTCCCGTGTGTTGAAACACCCACTGAATTACAACTCAAAGATTTAGGTTTCCTTGTTTTTTTATAAGAGATAGTTTCATTGGTGATTGATTACGAAAGGGATGTAATATCCATAATGTTTACAAAAGGCCTTCCCAATTTACAACGAGGGAGGTATAACTATATAAAAAAAAATATTCGACAGTTTAGAAAAAAACCTTTGGGGGATACTTGTAAAGAAAAAAAAAAAAAACAAGAAATGAAAAGATCAGCCATATGAGAAAATTTTGAATGAAAATATATGAGCTTGGAGATAACAGATAAGAAACAGAAAAACTCACATCTGCCACCTGATCATTCGCATCATTCTGAGCTTCGTCTGCCATGATTCCTGCAAGATGGTATAGGAGGATTAATTTAACTGAGTTAAAACATAAACACCAGCAAGCAACCATAAATCACTCAGATGGAGCCTTGGATCACCGGTGAAAACAAACATATTTGTACTTTGCCTTTATGCTTCTTCCACCACTCATCTAAAGGAGAGTGCTCAAACTTACAAAGTTTGTACGTCTCCAAGTGAAACTCACCACACTTGTACCAGAATAAAATTTTGATCATACCCACTCTCGTGCTGAAGGATCTTATACCATGGCTCCTCTATGATCATCCCAAGTTTTTTCTTATTGAACCTGTCAAATATGCCACATCCAAGGACAACGACTCTATCTTGATGGATGGAAACAAATTGCAGCAATCTCAAATACCTTTGTCGCAAACAACAAATACAGAAGGAAAAGTGGCAGCCATGATCCAAAATGGATTATTCATACTGCAGTGCTAAAGCACAGATAACAACAATAACAAACGAATGCCTTTTTAATAGGCATTGAGAACAAATAAGAGAGAAAATAGGAGCTACCAGAGAAGGTGGCCATGCCTATGACTACTAGCTAATTGTGTGAACCTAAAAAACTACTAACTATTGCTGAAAGAACCTTCTACCATTTCAAATACAACAAGAAATGAGAGTGAAAAAATACACTTTCCGTCCTGAGGTTTGAGAAGTGACTCAATTTCCCCAAGTTTAAATGGGACATTCTAAGCCTTGAAAGCTAGGGGGAAAAAGTAATAATCTTGACAACGTTGTTCAATTAATACAAATTAGACGCTCACCTTAGCAATTATATGTCTGTATATCACATTGTAGATTATTTTTTGTAACCTGGCAAGAAAAATAACGTCCACTCTCTCTCTTCTTTCCATTTCTTTCCCCTCTGCTTTGCCCAATCCGAAGCTTAACCCTCAAAGTCGTAGAAGCAATTACCCAATTCCAAACTTGAAACATGGTAAAATAAACTTAACCCGGGAACCACTCCGCATCCTCTCCCAATTTCATCCATAATACCACAGATAGTTTTGGATCGAAAGACGGAGAACCTACTAAAATTATGTGATTAGCTTGAAATTTCCACCCAATGCCTCTTAAATAATCTAAATAGATAAGTTCAATCTGTGTACAAACTATCCAGCTGAATCAAACACATACAAACTAGAACGACTCCAGATAGTCATAATTTAACAAATTATGATAATTGAGCAATTTTCCCAATAATCTGTCATAACAACAAGACACTGAAACTAACCCCTTGTTTGAACCCCTCAGGATTTGGAAGGACTTGAGATCAAAATGGATTTTAAATCATTTTCAAAAGCAATTTGATATGAAATCCAGTCTTGAGTCTAAAAAAAATGATCAGTCCAAACTTGGTTGGATTCGGCAGGATTTTAAATAGTATCACCTCGCTCCAATTTTACCCTATTTTCATAAATGATAAACCGAAGGAAACACGATGAACAGAAAATGAAAAAAAAAAACCTTGCGAACTATAATCCACTGAGAGAACGGGGTTACGGAAGATGAGTGTAAACGAACCTCGACGATTGGCTGTTGTACAAGAATGCTGCACAGGGGCCGGCGTGCCGGCGCAGTTCAGCAGAGAGGAATAGAAGAAAAAAAAAGCGTTGCCGATGGACGCGTGCCGGTTTGAGTTGTGGTAGGGAGGGTATATGAAAGACGAAGGAAAGAGCTAAAAGAAAGGGTGCAGATGTGCGGCTACTGCAGTGAGAGGGAGAAGAAAAAACAAATGGGGAAAATAGAATTTAGGGTTTTGCTTTTCTTTTAAGAATATTTTATATATACCTCATTTCAAAAGGTTTTTAAGAATATTTTATATATATACCATGCAGATCAAATCCTTCAACTCAGGATAAAAATAAGGAAGAAACAAGGACTAAATAAGAAGAAACGAAGAACAGAAAAACAGCAGCTCCTCTGGATGTAGGCAAATTTTGTTAGGATGGTGTTGAATGAAAAGGTCAAAATTGTGGGCAATTAAATTTGCACGCAACGCAACCGGACAGTTGGGGGCAGGTATGAGCAGGACGAACTCAATCCACCGGCACCCACCGCCACCAATCGAGGACCAATTCTACATTTCGGCAACGCCATAGCCGTCATACCCATTAGCTAGTTGAATTGAGTGGGTCCGGGTCTTCACCTACTACATTTTTTTTTATACCTCCATCAATTACAATCGATTATAGTTGAGTTGACTGGCTTCCATCGTCTGACCAAAACTACAAGTAAAACACCAACAATGTGTTCAACAACTGCTTTGGCGATCGGTCCATCCACAGCCACCACCATCTCCCTTTCCTCTTTTCAACTATTATCTTCCTCTTCAATCCCCTTTTTCATCCTTCCTAAACCTTTCATTTCACCGCCTCGGAAACACTTCCACTCCGGGAATGTGTCGATCACAGGAGTGGGCATATGTAGCCCTTCTCCTCCTGTGCTTCTCGTCGTCCATACTGCTTGTCGGTGCCGCAGAGCCGGTTACCCACCCCTCTGAAGGTAATTCCACTTCTCCCTTCATTTCATTCCAATCGTCCAAAATATCTGACGCATCGCGTAAGGGTAAAGGAGATTTCGATAAGAATAAAAAGAGATTTCGCTCTTAATTCTTATGATCTAACATTCTATCTTCCTTGAAATTTTGGTTACTCTTTCGTTTTATTGTCAGTGGACGCTTTGCGAGGCATCAAGAGAAGTTTGTTCGATCCTAATGGGAATCTGAGCAACTGGAACAGAGGAGATCCTTGTATTTCAAACTGGACTGGTGTTCTGTGCGACAATACCACATTGGATGATAACTATCGGCATGTTACTGAATTGTATGATTTCAAGAATTAGTGGACTCTTATAACTTACGTTAAGACGTATCTCCATCCATCCTTTGATACCAGTTTAAAAACAACAAATTGTAATTGTTATTCTGGAAATAGTTCTTAATTTTATTAGATAGTCACCGACTTAACTTTGGGACTTGAACATCTATGAAAGGGCTTGTTGTTCAAATAATCGACTGCATGCTCAAATTTGTTAATGATTGCGTATCATGGTCATGTATGCATCTCACATTTTGGTTACTCATATATTAGGTGTTAAATTCTATCTTTCTCCTTATACTTTTTCATGAACAAGAAGCTAAATCATCGGTCCTTGTAATCCCTTGCAGGCAACTTCTAAATATGAGCTTATCGGGAAATTTGTCCCCTGCGCTTGGCCGTTTATCTTACCTGAAAGTTTTGTAAGTTACTAATGAACAGGAAACGGATGAACTAGAATTTGATTTATCCATTGGATTTTCTATCTGCTAACGCACTTTTTCATATTTTGTGAAAAGGGACTTCATGTGGAATGAGATCAATGGGGAAATACCAGGAGAGATAGGCAATCTTACGTCCTTAGAACTGTTGTAAGTTGATTTACTTGATTCACTTTGACAAAGGTTGTCTGGTTTATCTAAAAATATGCTGACGCATCATCATATCTTCACTAAAATTTTTAGTTTGCAATCCATGAGTAAGTTCTCGAAGTGTTAGTATATAAACTACTCGATGTGTCTGAATATTTAGTATTACAGGGGAAAATCTGATACTTCCTATTTCATCTCCTGCACTGCTTTACTTTCTATAAGACGTTTTACAGGCTTCTGAACGGGAACCAGTTGTCAGGTTCATTGCCTGAAGAGCTTGGAAATCTTCTACGTTTAGACAGAATACAGATTGACCAGAACCATATATCAGGACCCATACCTAAGTCATTTGCAAACTTAAAAGCAGCAAAGCATTTGTAAGCACGTTTCTGATTCTGATAGTATAGAATATTTCTGCAACTTCCTTTTCATCTTACTAGTTTATTTAATACTCCCTTTCCTTTTTGACTCAGTCACATGAATAACAACTCTATCAGTGGTGAAATCCCATCTGAGCTATCTAGATTGCCCAATCTTGTCCACTTGTAAGTTTCTCCCTCCACCCTCACCACTACCCGTCGCATATACTTTTTGATGCAACTTATGTTTCCTGCCAGTTTGTTGACTTCTTCAGGCATTTCTATTGTGTGCTACACTCTACAATTTTTTTTTTTTATTATTTTTTATTTATTTATTGAAAGCTATTTAAATGCTTATACTTTTGGCTAATTACATATTTTTCCACTCTTTGCAGCCTTCTTGACAATAACAACTTATCGGGGAAGCTTCCACCTGAGTTGTTTCAATTGCCCAACTTAGAAATACTGTATGTACTCATTTCCTGCTACCTTAAATGCTTCAAATATATGAACACCCCCCTCCCTCCCTCCCCGGCTCAGTCTTCTACCAGTTTATTTATTTTCATATACCTTTTTCTTTTTGATTTCTTGGGGGAAAATGATAATACGTAATAAAACACAGCCACAAGCACAACCATGGAGCCAAATACTAGCTTTCTCACTCTGCTAACCTACCAAGAGTATGAGTCGCAATGTTTGCATGTCTGTTGACGTGAGATATTTACAAAAAGAAAAAAGAAAAATAAAACTGGGATTGATAAGGACTCAATTTTAGGTGACTTCTGTGAGTATTTCTATTCCCTCTTCCAAGGTACACGAACCATATTTGAACTTGTTAATGGGTGACAAAAAGAGAGAATTGTAGTAGTATGAAGGATATACACGTTTGGCCACGAAACCTTTGCACCTTTGTCGAACACTAGGATTCAAACTCATCCATTTTCATCATTTTGGTATCACAATGCGTGCAAGAAAATATTCTGCTTGCTTCTGGCTTTGGGATCTATTCTCTTCAGCTTGCTTGCACTGGGGAGATGAGTATTGTTCTTGAGAAGGAGATAATTTCCTACATTTGATAATTACAAAGTTACCCTGAATTTGAACATAAAATACAATATAAGGGTAGGATGTTAGAATGGTGGATGGATCTTTGGAAATTTTATGATCTCTTGTCAGTTTCCAATGAGTTTTTTAATGTTAGTTTTATTTTTATTATTCTCTGGATTTCTGTTTATTTTCTTTCCCAGTTTCATTCATATGCCTTTCGTTTAGCATTTATTCTGCACGAGTGATCTTCTGCATTTCTCCTTTTCAAATAATTTTGAGTTTCTTACTAGCCCAATTTCATTTGATTTGCAGTCAACTTGACAATAACAACTTCAGTGGGTCCACAATACCAGGCTCTTATGGAAATATGACTAAATTGCTGAAATTGTAAGTTATTTTTAAATTCTTGGTTTCAGTTGACCATTGAAACAATGGAGACATAAACTTCTGTTTTATTTGTAAGCTCAATATAGCTAGTATTTATTTAAATAACCTAAGCAACTTTCATTAACTAACACACATGAAGGCTAAAATATTAGATATATATATATATATAAAATTTCCATTTATGTTAAAGTTAGAATGCGAGGGATGGTATTACAATGGTCAGTGTAGTACCTACGTCTTAGAATAATTTATCTTGAATTACATGTGTCTAAGGAGAGCTCAATTGACAGACAGAATCATATACATTTGTTAAAAATAGCATAATTTTGAACTGGTGCATTATTTGTAAGCTCAATATGGTTATGCATTTATTTAAATAACCTAACCAACTTTCATTAATTAACTCACTTAAAGGCTACAAAAATCTAATTTCCATTTTAGTTAAAGTTAGAATGAGAGGGATGGTATGACACTCGTCAGTACAGTACCTACGTCTAAGAACAATTTACCTTGAAATATGTGTCTAAGGAGAACGATTGACAGACAGAATCATATGTTTGTTAAACATAGCATAATTTTAAACTGGTGTATTTATTTGCTTAAAGGAGATGTGATTATTGTTATTGTGGCAAGTGGGAGATCTATTAAATAGGACAGTTCATGATAAGAAGATCTTATTCCGTTCTATGGTTGGCTATCTTATTCTTCTACCATATGATTAATTTGGATAGTTGAGGTTCTTGGAACTTTTTCTCATGATTTACAACTAATAATACACTAAATTAAATACAAGAGATAAAGCCTAAAAGATAGTAAAATTATCTAGTCTAATTAAATCCCCTGAACTTTTAGGCCTAGAAGATTACAAGATAAAGTAAAGATAATTTTCTAATTTTTCATTTATCTTTCTGGGACATCCAATCAGACAAGAAAGAAAGGCCCTTGGTTGGCGGTCAATAGGGCTTATAGCCAGGTCCTTTGGTATGAGAGAATCAGTCGCGTTTAAAACAACTCTTGTTACTGGTGGAGGGTGTTTTTTGTGACCCACCATAGGTGGTTTGGAAGCCTCCCCTTTTGTATAGTCCATTCATCAAAGAAATCACCTCTTTTTTCTTTTCTTCTTCTTCTTCTTCTTTTATTTTTTATTTTTTTTTTATTTTAAAGAAGTGCTTAGTCCATCATAGAGTTCTTGGTTAACGCAGTGAAATTGTATGTCCTCAAGAGTCAGATCTGGAAGAATCATTAGTATCTAACAACTGCTAATGGCCTTATAGCATCCAACTACTAAGCTTGTTAGTATAGTTACCGAGCTGTTTTCCTACATATAGTGTATAATGTGTACCAAAACCTCGCATGTCTATAAGCTTTACATGCTCTTAAATTTGAAATAACAGGGTAGAGTTGTTGTACTGTTTTTATAAGGTAAATGTATTGTACTGTTTTTATAAATTAAATGTATTGGTTGTCTTTGTGAATGATTTTGCACAGGAGTCTAAGGAACTGTACCTTGCAAGGACCAATTCCTGATCTGAGCAGAATAAATAGCCTCGGTTATCTGTAAGTCTAAATTAGGTTTCTCGAGTATATTCAGAAG